TTTGGCATTTTAATACCACTTTGAAGTATGTAATTAATACATATTTTTCACTGTTTTTTTTTTAAGGAACTAGTTATAATGTTTTTTTCCAAATCTTAGCTCTGCTACTCATCATTCCAACCCTTCTTAGTGTTGCTTTAGAGCAGGGGTGGGGAATGTCTGGCCTGCAGGCCTTCTAAGGCCCACAAAATCATTGGTTTGGCCTGGCTGGCGCGTCTCAGTGGCTGAGTGTCATGGTTCAATTCCTATTCGGGGCGTCTGCCCCGGTTGCGGGCTCGATCCCCAGTGTGGGGCAAGCTGCTGGATGATTCTCTCTTGTCATTGATGTTTCTATCTCTTTCTCCTTCTCCCTTCCTCTCTGAAAAAAACAAACAACAAAAAAAACACACACGAAAAAAACATGTATCATTGGTCTGGCCCTGCCAATGCATTAGGGGTGAGTTAATTGAATGTTTGACCAAATATAGCAGTCTAATTTTTAAGGTGATAATTTTGTAAATTCATTAATGAATTTTTAAATATCTAAATGGCCCTGGGCAGAAAAAAGATTCCCTATCCTTGCTTTTAAGTTTAGACTGATTAATCTTGGTGGAGAATTACAATATAACTTTTGAAGAATCTTTATTATAGAGGCTAAAGTGCATTTGTTTTCATTTTAACTTGAAGGTATTATCGCTTTCAGAGTTTGTGTAATGAGATACTGATTTCTGTTTTTATCATTTGAATTGATTTCCCATTAAGTTTTGAACTCTGGGAAAACTTATTTCTCCCTCAGGTACCCTTTCATTTATGAGAAGAGGCAATCTTATGTTGTCCTATACATATTCCATTCCTAGCAGAAGCAACAAAATAAAGTCAGTCCCCTGGTTTCCTGTTTCAGCCCATCAGAAATATCACAGCCCCCTTCTCTTCCTGGCTCACCAACAGCTTCCCAGAATTATCCTCCTTACCGATTATGGGATTCCCATCACAGCCCTCCTCTCAAATCTATTGTTCCTTTTTGTCCTTTATTCCAGATGTGTGTTTGTTCCAGATCCTTATTTCTTTTAACTTCAGATATATAATGTAAGCTGTTAAGCAGTTTGGGACTCTTTAATTATTTAAGCCATGTGTCCTCACCAGCAGAGCAAGCCTTTCTTTAAAGTAATTGCTCCTACAGAGATGAAATAGGTTCTGGTAAGTGAGAGGGAAAGTATTTCCCAGCTGAGTGGTGCTCCCCAGCTGCACTGTTGCTGAGGAGCTATGTGCAGCCTGCGGGAGAGAGACTGTTACTTGAGGTGGACCTCCGACTCCTCGCTGCCTGGGTTGGGTTAGGAAGTAGGACTCTGGCCTAATTTCCTTTCTCTGCCATCGACTTCCTGTTGCTCTTCGGGTGTCTTCAGAATGCCTTGACCGAGGGGTAAGGTTTCTTGTGAGCTGAAGGTTATCAGAAGCTCCTGCATAGTGTGAGCTTGATCATGACAGTCAAGGGAAATGCCAGATGTGCTCAGCTCCTAGAGAGCTGCACCCGGAAGCCTTGACGTGAGCAGCTGGACCCGGGAGGGCAGGTGGCCAGCTCTCCTCTGTCTCTCACATTTTTGATGTTTTTGTAGAATAGGGCTAGGAGATGGGTGCTGTTTTTCTCTGTTCACTCCAAGTGTCTTTAGCATGCCTTCCTACTTATGTACTGATTGGATAATGGATTTGTTAGGGAGGTAATCTTGGGGCCTGGCATACAGAGCCAAGAATGGAATTTTCATATTTCGATTTTCATGTTACCTTTTTCTTTCTTTTTTGTTTTTCTGCTTCATTACCCCAGCATCCAGTTAAAATTTTTTAATTTGTATTTTGATCCTAGTTGGAATGAGAGTTTAAATATTGAGCTGTGTAACTAATTGCCGGCATGAACTCCTAGCTGGACAAGGTATATTCTGATATCATTGTCCACTTCTTGGATTTTTTTTTGATAGGAAAAAAATAATTCATTTGTTTTAATTACTATGAAGGGTAACTTTAGGATACAATTATGGGGTAAGAGTCGTATTTGAGGGTTGAACCCTTTAATCCTTTTTCTAATAAAAAAAATTGGGGTATAATTTACAGTAAGTGAAGTACATAAATTCTAAGTGTACAGTTAAGTGATATATTTTTTTTTTTACTGTGCATACACTTATTTGCCACAACCCAAATCAAGATGGAAAACATTTCCAACCTCCAGAGGCCTCCCTTAGTATCATTACTTCTCTTACCATAGATTAGCTTTGCCAGTTCTTGAACTTGTTATAAATGGAATAAAGCAGTATGTACTTTTTTCTGTCTTTTCCTTAACATTACTTCTGTGATGTTTGTCCATGTTATGTGCTTATCCCTCCACCAGTTATTTATGTCTGTCTGTCTGTCTGTCTGAAGTACTGATGCTTGATTTGGAACATGTAAGCCCAGGGCACTGAGACTGAAGAAAAAAGGAAGTGAGATAGGGGAGATTGGAAGGGCTGCTGGGTGATACATTATCATGCTGGGCATGAACCAAGATAGGCTATGAAGAGATACAGCTCATGACTCAGCATTTGTCCATATGAGAAGTTTCCAGAGAAACTGCCTCAGAGAGGTCAGTGAAAGGAAGGGAGGAAAAAGAATTTATTTGCCTGGCTCATTTCTGTCTCTTGAGTTCCATTCGGTCTGAGTTTGCACCATGGCAGGTTATCCTTCTCTTGCTAACAGGAGAAACGAGGTTAAAACAAAGTGCAGAAGTAACCACTGAAGGACAAGTAATATCTCAAATACTGCAAAAGGCAGGATTGTAGTAGCAAAGTAGGAGGGAAAAGAACTTTGCTGTTAGTCTCTTTGTCTTTTACTTAAAGCTGCTGTTACCAAGTTAGTAGCCAGTCCCGAAATTTGGGTGTGGGATAGAACAAAATACATTTCTCCCAGGTCTCCAGAACTCCTCTTAGGAGAATGGAGAAGAATATAGTCAATCTGGAGACTTCTAATAGTTTGGAAGTGAAATCATGGAAGTTTCCCTCTGTCCTATACCCACTTGTTCTTTTATCTTTCTCTCATATAACGTAAATTGGTTTCTACCCCCCTTATTCTGACTCTTCCTTGTCCCTCCCCTTTCCTCAGTAGTCACTTCCTAAACATGTAAAGATTCTTCAGAAAGCTACAATATCATTAACATACCTAAAATTAATAAATTCTTAATATTATCAAATGTAATTTTCAAAATTTTCCATTTTTCTTATGCCTACTTACTTATTCTCTGCTTACTTATCTATTTACTTACTTATACTTTGTATAAGTCAGGGTCCAAATTAGGTAATTGATAGTTTTGTTTTGTTTTAAATCAGTGTTTCCTTTCCTCGTTCCCTGGTTTTAGCCTTGTAATATATTTATTAAAGAGACTGGGTTAGTTAATTTGAATTTCCCAGTGTAGGCATTATAAGTATGTAGTCCTGTGGTGTTGCATGTCATGTTCTACTGTCTTCTGCATTTTTGTCAAATGATGTTAGATCCAAAAAAAAAATGATGCTAGATCTAGATGTTCGATTAGATTTAGGTCTAGCTATCTTAGGGGGAGAGGAAGGAATACTTCATAAAGAAAATCATGTCCTCCCACAGAGGCATATAATATCTGGTTGTCACTCTTCCCATGATGTTAGCATCCACTGATGATCATTGTTTAGATCCATTATTTCACTAATCTGTTGCAAATGGTGATATTCCAATTCTGTCACTTTTCCCCTCAGTTATTAGCTTGGGAATTCTATAAAGAAAAATTTCTCATCAGCTGTTTGGTTACCCAGGGAAATAGTTTATGTAGCAGAAGCAGAATAAAGGCTTGATTTTTAACCTTCTTTTAAGTGTTTCAAAATAACAGTGCTGATTCCCTATCAGTCTCCAAAGGGACCAATGAATTCCCTTTGGTGTGTGCTGAAATATTTGATGTGTTTTAATCCTTTGTAATTAATATCTTTATGGATAACTTTCGCTAGTGGAGGCCTCTTCGGGTTGGATCCTGAACCATTTTAAAGTGGTGCTCATTTTGGTAGGATCCTTGCTTTGTGGCATGACAAGTGGTTCAGGTGCATTTTTTTTTTTTTTTTTACATTTTCTGCCCCAGACTTGAAATTAGTCATATCTCCAATGAGCAGTGGGGATATAGTATTTAGAGACCATGATCTGGGTGCTATAACATATATTTATTGAGCTCTAACAATGTGTTTGTATGTGCATTTCAACCTCCCATCACCCTTAAATTATACCTAGTGTAACCTGTTATAGAAATTTTGAAACGGGACAACCAGTGGGTCCGGGCTGCCTGTCACTACTTGAGCCAATTCACCAGAGACAGGGTTGAATCATATGTGAGCATTTATTCCAATAATCCTGGCAGTATGGAAGAGCAGCAGGTCATCCACAAAAATCTGCTCTGCAACCCCCCATAAGCCAGCTACTTATATTGGTTAGGGCAATATTACATGGGCAAGTAAGAATTATAGGCATGGGAAGCAGGTAATGGGGCCTGGGGTGAGACTCCATTCTTTGGGCAACAAGATTATTAATCTTTCCATGAAAATAGGCAATTCTTGAATGAGAATGGACTGCATTCAATGGTTGACCCCCAGGTCCTAGGTTGACTGCCAGCTCCGTGGTTGACTCCGGGGTCCTGGGCGTACAACCTCCAGCCAGGTTAGAATGTCCTTTCTTTAATCAGAACCAGGCAATCACAGTTAGCAGCATGATTAATATTTCTGATAACTATAGCTAGTCCCCAATATTCTATTTTTGCCCCTAACAACTTGACCAGACAGACAGTTGAATAGGTGAACATCAAAGTCCCAGTCTTCCTTCTGAACCCTGTTCAAGATTGATTTTACATTTGATGATGTTCCGCTCTTTCTATTTCAGAACTTTTATTTTTCACTTCAGTCCTTTGCCTCTGAGGATACTTTATCAGTGTGTTCTACAATGAAACTGACGCTTCTGTGTTTTCATTCGCTTTCCTTTCTCTCCCTCATTAGTTATCTTTCTACCCAGTGACCTTGCCTTCAGGTAAGGCCTCGGGTTGTTGACTGACTGAAGTCGTGTGTGCGCTTGTCCTTGGGGGAGGTTGGAAGCAAAGTCGTCACAGGGGAGGGGCTTCTGGTGTGTTCCATGGTGGTCGTGGTGCATTTTGTCTGAGATAGAGTAACGGTACCTTAGCACCACGTGCTTCCATTTCTGCATGTCTAAGGAATGTGCAGACAAGTATATTTGTCAGCCTCTGTGGCAGCAGCTAGGCTGAAAAGCAAAGGTTGAAGAAGATCCTTGGGGCAAGAACAACCCTGGGTCTGAGAAAAGATGACAGTTTGTTGAATTGTCAGGAGCTTTGAACCTGAAAACAATATCCAAGCAATATTTAATTTCTCTTTTTTTGCTTTCTCCCTCTATTTTTTAGATGCTGTTCGAACATTAAGCAATGCTGAGGATTATCTTGATGAAGAGGACTCAGATTAATTCCTTTCTGAAGCTTTAAGAGCTAAAACTTCTGTTGCTTTTGCCATTCCAAAACCATGTCTTTGCCAGAGAGTGTTGGTAACTGTTTTTTGTTTTTGTGTTTTAATGTCCATATAAACATGGAACGTGGCAGTATTGCACTGTGTTTGAGTAGAACATGTAAATGAATAGTTCTCACCTTTGGTTTGCCAATAAGTGACTGGATTCTTTGCTGTATAAAGTAAGTTTTTGTTTAACAGAATAGAGCAAGAAGAGATTATTGCTATTTATCAAGTTAAAGGAATTTTAAGAATTTATTTCTTTAAAAAAATCAGGATGGTTTTATAAATTAAATTTCTTTACCTCAAGGATGTTTTGAATGGATTTTTCAAGGGGAGAAATGCTTATTATAATAATAAACCAAAACACAACAGAAAATTGTCAGTTATTCTGACAAAAATAAACATTTTAAGAGACTTTTTTCCTTTTGTCTGTTTTTCTAGTATGACTCTGTGCTGGTAAATAAAGAAGTTTTTTATATTTAGGTAAAGACTGAATTTATTTTTTTAAATTATATTTTGTATTTGTTAGCACAGGAGAATCATAATAGCCAAATCTCTTTTCAACTTTCTATATCTGCTTTAATGAAAGTCAAAACAATAATCACTGAAAAGATACCTTTCTAATAAAATATATAACTTTACTGAGAATGAAACTTTCAGTTTTATCTCTAAGGTTATACTTGGTATGAAGAAACCTAGCAGCTCATTGTTTAAGGTTTGAAAGGTTAGATGTCTCGATATGCAAAGGTTGCGGGTTCGACCTCTGTTCATAAGCAACCAGTGAATGCATAAATGAGTCGAACAACAAAACGATGTTTCTGCCCTGTCTCTCTCTCTAAAATCAATCAGTGAATTCTTTTTTAAAAAGGAAATGATTTCCTTATTATGGAAGATGCCACAGTTTTCTATGGTGGAGTAGCCAGGAGCCCTGATATTTTTTGGCTTTCAGCTTTTCACATTGGTTTTCTCATGATCCGGATTCTTTTGCTAAAACACCAATTAACATTTTAGGGAGCCTTCTCTACTATCGAAGTGACACTTTATTTGAGCTTCTAGTTTTTATCACTACTGTGATAATATTAAAAATGACACGGCCCGATTCCAGGCACTAGGCTACGGACTATATTTTGCAAGAAGACTTCAGTACTCATTTCAAAAAACATATTGGTGAAGAGAAGGAAATGTTTGAAGAAGGAAGTGGGTTCGCTCAGGAAACGAATAACTGCCTCTAGTCTACAAGGCTTTCCTCTGTCTGAGACTGTTTGGGTTTTCTCTCTGTGGGTGCCTTGAGAAACGATACCCTGAGAAGCCTGTTAGAGGTCTTTAAAAAAAATTACCCCAACTCAATTTCAGTAGGAAGAAGTGACAGCTAACGATAAGCACAAAATCTGAAATTAACAAAAAAAGGATACTTTATTCTCAGCACAAATGTTATTAAATGTGAGGTAAACATTTGTATTTCTTCATAAGCATAAATTTGAAGATAGGAAATCATTGTTGAAATTATATCTGTTCTCACAGAACCTTTAAGGACTTGTTCTTTAAAAAGGGGGTTTGTACCATAACAAAAAGCTTTTGGAAATCTCTAACTTTTGGTTCCCGGACACTGTGGGCCTGGGATAATTAGGAAAGATGCCCACTACACACTCCTGATTTTTTAGCATGGGCAGAGATAATACATGCATGGATATAGATAGTTTTTATGAAAATATTCTGTGCTTGATGTAGATATTTATGTATTTGAGGAAAAGAATAGTGGGGACTTCACTGTCACTGCTTTTAACATTTTCAAACCTATGAAAATTCTATAAAGTTGGCCAAATATAGTTTTTTGGAGGAGTAAAGGGTTTGCATGACTTTTTGGTGAAACAGGACAATGCATTTAGCTGTGGTTGAAACTCCATGGTGAAATTTACTTTTGTTACTTGCTTATTCAGCCTAGCTGATCTGAACTTTCTCAGAGATTGTTTCATGCTGAAGTCAGCAACAAAAATCGGTTCGAGGAACCTGCCACTGCTCTGCCCCTGCAGGGAGGGCTTTGATTATGCCCTGGGAATGACTTCGGAGATTTCGCTGTAACCCGAGCTTTCTGACAGTCACAGGCCTGAACTCCTTCCCAGCCCTTGCATCCTTTAGAAGGGAAATGCCTTTCAGCCCCTGGGCCAGGGTGCCTCAGAGTGCTTGTTCAGCTACCAGCCCAGTAACCTTGAGCAAAGAACATGCTTTTTTTCTTATCAGAGTTTCCCATTTTAGATTCCTTTATGGGACTGGTCTGTTGCAAATTATTTATCGTTGGATTGCCATGCAATTACAGCTCTCAGTTTCTGTATTTCCTTAGTAAGCCCCCCCAAATGGGCTCTTTTCCTTTTTCAGTAGATTGGCTAAATTTAACCAAAGGGAAACATGGACCAAATCAGTGGTGACCCTATTTTTTTTTCTTTCTTTCTTGCACAACAAATTGGAAATATGCTGAAAGTGAAATCGCAGATAATTTTGGGTAGAGAAAAATATAATTTTTTTCCATGTATGTTTTCTTCACAAATGTTCTTTATTGTCTAGAACTTCAGAATTACTGATATTTCTTATTGTGAGCTCTGTATTTCACATCGTCATAGATGATTTCTTTTCTAATAGGCTGTAGGGCCTAGCATTTACATCTGATCATCACTATTTCCCTATTAACTTTGATTTTGTGTTTGTGAACGTGAAATTTTTTTATGTTGTAAATATGTATGTAGCAGTAATATACAGAGCAGCCAAACTTCGAAGTGCCTGACTAATGAACGTTGAGGTTTTGGTGGGAGAGGTATTGCAAAAGACTCTTCTCCCTATTTTAACGGAAAATACAGCCTTGGTGAACATTTTTCTTAAGTGAAGGAAAAATTGCAGACCACAAATTTATGGTTTCTTTCTCCTTATTTTTTAAATAACAAGTCTTTACATCTGCCCCTCCCTTAAAATGACATAAAATTAAATAAAACTATCATTTATTGAATGCCTTCTCTGTCAGTTCCTGTGCTAGGCACTTTCGATGACATGATGTCATATGATCTTTACAGCAGATGTTCACCAGGGTGGTGAACGGTAAGGCCCCTGTGTCTTTACAGAGAAGTTGAGGTTTGAGGAAGCTAAGTAACTGGTCTAGGGTCACAGTACTTGAAGGTAGAAGTGCAGGTGTGGCTGACTCCTGAGCCGATGTACCTGCGGCCTACTGATGCCATCCACGTTCTCAGAAAAAATATGCAGAAACAGACCAGCTCCTCTTCCATCTCTATCCCTGGATGTGGCATCTAATAAATTCAACATACCTACTAATTTAACTAAATGTGTTATAGAAGCAACTCTAAGAACTTTTTTTTTTAAGGATTTTCTTTTTTCCCCCGCAGAGAAATTTTGGCAAAACTTTTTGGTTCCTGGTAACCCTGCAGAAATATTTAGTGAAGCAGGTTGTACCCCTCAACATTTCCATGTAAATGAAACCAAGTACACATTAAAGAAAGAAAGGCTGGACTAGCAGTTCACCTTGCCTGAGTTTGCATTGCTAAATCCAACTTTTCCCTCAGAGAGTCTGAGACCTCCTCACATATTTCCACATAACCCTGAAAATAAATGCGTCCCTGGGAAGGGTCACAGAATGTTGTCTTACTCGAGTCTGGGAGCTCGTGGTAGACGTGGAGGTCACCTCACCCTGCCGTGCAGTTCTGTTGTTTTCTGCCAAAGGCCATCTGCCTGAGGTTCCCAATAGGCTCAACCTCGGCCTCACTTGCACCGTTGCCAACTGGGGGCTGGAATGAGGCCAGGTTTGGGCTGTGGCTGGAAAAGACAACTGAAGAAGTTCAAAGGTCGGAGTTAGAGAGCCCGAGAGGAACCAGAAAGGAAAGTGGGAAAAGAGACAAGTAGGAAAAAGGCTGAACAACAAAGGAGAAATGGTGACCCTTTTAAAATCACCCATAGTTCTGATGTGACATCATGAGAATGCTTCAAGAAGTGGCTAAGAGTGTATGGGCTTTGCAGGGAAACTCTGGGTTCAAGTGTGGCTCTGCTGATATTGCTGAATGACCTTGGGCAGATGACCTAAAACACTTTGCTTCCTTAGCTCTAAAATGGGGGAAGCAAGTGCACCTAGTGCCTAAAGTTAAGAGGATGAAATAAAATGAGCTATGTAAATAACTTAGAATAGTGCCCAGCAGAGCCATTCATTGCTCAATAAATATTGGCTGTACTCATATGCCCCCATGAGGAAGTTTTCATTAAAAACAAATATATGTGTATGTGTGAAGGATGTGTCAACAAATGTTTTTCAAAGTCACCACTATTGTGAAGAGTGAGATATTCTAAAATACTTTAAAAATGAATGGAGGACAATGAATAATGTTTCCTTTCAATCATTGAGATGTGTTTACATGTGGTAGTTTACATGTGTTTACATTTTCAATGTAAATGTACTTATTGAGAGTTATGGAGAAGGGGTAGATAACTAGAAAAAAAGTGGTTGTTATTATTGAAATAATTCAAAGTTCAGGTGAGGAGACTGTCTCTCCCACTGTCTCTGTTTTACATTGTTGCTTTGGAGTAGTTCGATGGGCTTGACGTCCATGGGTTTAATATTTGGTCTGGGACGATTTCAAGTTGGAAGGCTATTTGATATACCATCTTGCTTATGTTTTTTCAAAACAGAAATAGTCCATATATTCCAATAGATAAGCTTTGCAACTTCATATGTTTCTCCTATGAGATCGAAGCTTCAAGAATTTAGTTAAGCCCTAACAGGTTTGGCTCAGTGGATAGAGTTTTGGCCTGCAGACTGAAAGGGCCCAGGTTCGATTCTGGTCAAGGGCATGTACCTTGGTTGTGGGCACATCCCCAGTAGGAGGTGTGCAGGAGGCAGCTGATTGATGTGTCTCACTCTTTGATGTTTCTAACTTTCTATCCCTCTCCCTTCCTCTCTGTAAAAAATCAATAAAAAATATTTTTAAAAAAAGAATTTAGTTAATCATTGTCAGTGAAATAATCTATGACATTTAGAAGTTAAGTATCATACACTCTTCACTAACTTTGAACATGAAGGCGACAGAGTAAGAACTAAATGGGATATTTCCTTTTTCCCCATTCCAGACGGGGAACTCCTGGGGTCACAGAAAATGTCTCTTTATACCAGGAGTAAGTCTGGTATAAAAAGGTATGAAAATAAGGCCTACTTAGACACAGATTTCCAAGAAGAATCGGCCAAAGAACAGCCATTGACTGAAACTAGAAATAGCTTCAGAGAAATCCACAGCCCTGAAAAGTTCTCAGTTAAAGAGAGCATCACCGTGACAGCCAGTGCTCAGCGGAAACCTGGCCTGCAGTCCTCACCCATCATTTCTGCGCCCTGTGACATTGACCAGACCTCTTAATCCCCTTGATGTACCTGCA